GGGCCTGGTTAAGGACCTTGGCCGAGAAGTGAAGGTCAGCATGTTGCAAAAGCCTCGTCTGACATGAGTTTAGGGTTTTAGGGTTCTGACATGGGCTTTGCTATGAATTGGGGACGAAAGCCTAAACCCCCCCGCCCCCGCAGAGTTCCTAAAGCTGAAATCGCCCGGAAGGTTCGACCCTCTCAATCTGACGATGCTTTTTTCAATCTCCTGATATGTTGATACGCCTTTAGGGGTTAAGGGTTTAGGGTTTAGGGTTGCTCGGTGTTCGTGCTTCAATTTCCTCGCTCCGGCTTGGAGAGCTGGTTGTCTGATATGTTTATGGCCTGTCGCACATACGACAGACTGCGTTCGATCCTGGGGCTCAGTTTCTATGGTGCCTCCATCACTCCAGCATGGTACATCACAGAGAACATCTTATCACATCTTGGCATCTGCTACAAGTCGCGGGCCCCTACGAAAGCCTTCCTTCTCCGGATGCCGCTGTCCACCTGCCATGTTTCAAGTTTTTTCCATGGTGTCGGATGCCTTCATGGCTAGCGGCATGCAGGGATGCTTTCCGCGATCGACAAGAGGATGAAAAGTGCCACTCTGTTGATGGCACTGCCACTGCCTTCTCAAAACTGCGTCGAATTAGAGGGTCCAGCAGCTTTACAGTCCGCCTGCAGATCCCACCGAAATTAAAGATTGTCTTAAGAAGGAGAAGAGCCCACGATCCCCAGATCCAGAGTGGCCAAAACCTGCCCAAGACAAGACCTCTTCTCGCCTCAAAAGAAAGGGAGCCCCCAAACGCCTCTTCTGGATCTGAGAGGAAGGAGCCCCTGTGGACATCAAGCTGGGGGCAAAGGTCAATAACCTTCCTGTAGCCCCCAAAGCTACGACGAAGCCTTAGATCATCTTAAAATCCTCTCTTTATGAGCCCTTTCTGCAGCGCCACCCTAAACCTTAAACCCTAAACCCTAAACCCCAAACCCTACAAACCAGCGCAGCTGGGCCTTCCTTTAGTACATTACCAGCTCATCGGCAGGATGCGGAGCATGCGGCCTGGCCCTTCCAAGTGCCAAGCATCGGCTGCCCATCACACGGGTTGTTGCCGTCCAGATACCTCGCAGGCTCTTCAAAGACTCACTAGGGCTCCCTGGTAGAAGGCACCACTCTCCCCCTTAAACCTGAGAAGATCAGTGCCCCTCAGATAAAGAAAGGCCCCCAAACGCGCCTGTCATCGCTGGACAGACACGAGGTAGAGAAGCCTTGGCACGGGTAAGTCGTCTCACCGTCCCACTTGTAGAAGCGGAACCAGTCGTACTCGCTGGTCATGGGGTAGCGATTATTGTAAATCTGCTTGCCCCCGAAGTTGGCCTTAGGGCCAAAGATCCACAAGTTCATCATGACCTTGGCCGACTTGTCTGGAATCGGGGGGTTGCCGCCATAGTGGCTCCTCACTGGATTGCCGTCAATGTACCAGGTGATGCGGTCGGGCAGCCACTCAAAGCCGTAGGTGTGGAACTCGGCCCGTGCATTCCCTTGGACGCTGGTCGTTCTCACTGAGGCGATTTGTGGTCTCCAAAACTCTGTGTTGTCCGCACGGAGCACATTGGTCGTCACAGAGTTGGGTGAGTCACCAGTGACCTCAATGTCAATCTCCCGCCAGTGACGAAACTTGGCATCGCGGAACACGAACATGGTGGCAACGAAGTTCCCGTCCACATCCGGGTTTCCGGGCTGCACATCCGGAGCCTTCATGCGAACCTCGTAGCGCCCGTAACGGAAGATGTTTCTTCTGGAACGGAACTCGCCGCTCACTAGCGGCTTGTGGTCCACGGTCCCCACCTCAGCGTGCGAGCAAGCTTGTGTAGAATAGCCAGGGTTCTGGGTGGCGGTGATCTTCATCTTGCCGTCCTCAAAGCGGATCTGCTGCTTTACGAAGCGCACATCGCCTTCGAAGAGCCCGCCGTCCGACCAGGTCCAAATTGGATCGCTGTCCAGGTCCAGTGGGCTGTCGAACTCCTCCACAAGCGCCAGCGTGAAGCCCGGGTAGCTTGGGTACTGCTTGCTGGGGTCCGGATGTCCGGAGATATGGGCAGGGCTGGGCGCCCCTCCGCCCGGCGATCCGGCAGGTGGTGCTCCGGCACTGCAGCTGGCGATGTCCGAGCAGCAGTTGTTGTAGTCCTTGCATCGGTTGTTGCACTGGCACCCTTGGCTCTGAATGTATGTAGAAGGGCAACCGTACTGCTGACAGCTTCCCCATGCTGAGCGGAGAGCAGCCTGATCTGTTGCATTCGTTTCGTTCTTCTGGGCCGTCAGACCTCGGAGCTGGGCCCACGCTGTACTCCATGATGCGGCCACAAGAAGCGTTGCCAACATCTGTGGCACGGGCGCCATGGGGGCCTGTTGCCCTGAGCTCAGAAGGATGCCCGGAGGTCGGGCAAAAATCCAAAACCACTGCTTTGAGCAAATTTGCTACCACGCCATGCCACGATGCCTCGAAACTGACCACTGCTGACCATCACCCCAGCTCCCAAAAACGAGCAAGGCGTACCAAGTCTTTGAGGAGACCGGTGAGAGTCCGTCAGGAATGTTTCGGCTTCAGTGAAGCATTCCGGCGGATGAGTTTAGGGTCAAGTCCTGAAGCTAATATATCTGATAGTATTTGTACTGCTTCAATGATCACTATAACTACTGCTATTCTTGTAGCATTGTGCGCATTATCATAGTTGGAACGACTATGAGTACTATTGCTTTCACTAATTCCACAGCTTTACACGTAAATGTGTTCATTGCTTTATGTTTTACGTTTGCATGTTGTGATTGTATTTAGTGTTGCTTTACTAGTTGTATTACTTACGTGCGCACGGAGTGAGGAGTATCCTACCATGCGTGGTGCGAAAGGCATCAGGAGCAGCACGCATCCCAAAAGGTACGCTTCTTTCACGCCCCACACGCACACACGCACACCGGTGGCCCAGACGTCATCATCCTTCGATCATGGTGGAAGTCAGGAAATCAGCATCATTCGACCCTGGATGCACTTGGGCGACAGGCGATTCGCGATGCTCTGCCCACTCGCATGCAGACGGGCTTTGAGCTTGGGCTTGACCGAGTTCGGCCCCCGATTACCGACCTTAGCGTCACTCAGCACCGTCTACGCCCGAGGTTCCGATACGTTTTCACCACTCGCTCAATGACAGCTGCTACTGCTGTGGGAACAGATCCACTGATGCGCCTGCCTCTTGCCGTCGCAACGCGACCGCCCCCCGCCCCCGGGCATGCACACTCAGGACCATCTTACACCAAGACGTGTATCCACGTATAGCCGCACAGAGTCCAAGCAACACCCCGCTTGCCCTCATACCATTGCCCTTCGAACCCACACCCGAACTACCAGGCTCCAACTACATAGACCCAAGCCTCGTTTGGAGGCTTAGGGCTCAAACCCCAAACAGAAACACATGAAACCCCAAACCAAGACACCCCAAAATCCTAAATCCCAAACCCTTAACTCAGTCGCTGCAAGAAGCTGCGGCTCGGCAGGTTCTCGCAGTCTTCGGCCATGAATCGGGTGCTCACACTCCTGACAGGAGTGAACAAGCTCCGTGCTTTAGGATGTAGGGTTTGGGGCTGGGGTCTGGAATTGAGGGCTCTCGTGTTTTTGGTTAGGGCCTTTGGCTCGGGTTTAGGGCTTAGGGTTTGGTGCAGGTTAAAAAGTGCTGCTCTTGGCTGTTAAGGGTGATACCGGTCTTCAACAGGACGTCCTACTCGGTATAGGGTTTAGGGGGTGAACGCCACAAAGCTTCGTCACCCCCTGCAGACAAATTTACGGCACAGGGAGAGACCTGAAGATGGACGATAGTAAAGAGCTCTACAAGGGATGAACAGCGTTCTCCGGGTCTTTCTCGAGAATTTAGAGGGGTTTTGGGTTTCAATTAGGTGTAAGCAGTGATGGGACGGCGTTGCCATTGATTCGCTTCTGACTCCCGCGAGACATACTGCTGATGGCATCATGTCGGGCTTTTCCCATCCATCTTCTGCTTGCCGATTTGATAGCAGCCGAGCTTTCAAGCAAACCACCGAGCACCGGGTCCAACGCTATGATTTGAAACCCCGACGAAGTCCTGAACACTGTCGTTACAGAACCCCGAAGATGTGGGCGACCTGGCCCATGTTCTGATCACCGGGAACTGCATGTTGAATGCTACAACAGAGTACTGAAGCTGCAGGGATTTCTGTTGGAAAAGTGCATATGAAGTGCATAAGATAGGAACCTGAATCATTAGAATAGGGCTTTGGGGTAAACTTTACTGTGTAAGAAGCCGCCCCAAACTAGTATTGGTAAGTATTCAGGCCCCTAAACTAGCTGGAAAGATCTTGCGACAGGGTGAGCGACTTATGCTCTCCAGGCCGGAACATGAAGCACAACAAATAGAAGACGATCAGACGAATATGTTTTACATGTGTAGATACGTGTGTGTGTATATATATATATACACAATATTTTGTTAGTTACCGATGTACGTATTTGTCTTTTTTCTCTAGTCATTTATTTATTTATTCACGCATTGATTGATGCATTCATCTCTTTATTTATACTATCTCGGCTTTTTATCTCAATCATAATGTTCCTTTTAGTTATCAAGATTATATTCGTTGGTATACTAGTGTTGTTTTTGTTGTTATAATAGTATTGCGCATTGTGTCAGTGGTGGCATGTCGATCCCTCCTTCGGTCCTCGACGTTCCCATGGGCACAGCTTACACGAAGAAGAGGTTTGGCCTGCAAGGATCAGACCGGAAGCTTGCAGCTACAGGAATCTCCGGAACGTCCTCCTGAATTCTCGTTTCGGTTCAATCAGATGGCCAGCTCTCACTACAGCCGTTTCGGAAGTGCCACAAAAGAAATCAGGATTTCGATCTCATACACACCCCGGAGCCCTGTAACAAATCTGCACAAAGCACCCAGGAGGATGACAGAGTTTACAGTGCATGCACAGCGCTGCTTGAAGATCCAGCCCTCAACAACCAAAGTGGAACCCTAAACCCCTAAACCCTAAACCCGAAACCCCTCCTAAACCCTAAGCTCATAAATCCTAAACCCTAAACCCTAAACCCTCCTGCATAAACGAACCTGAGCACCGCTGAAATCCCAAACCTTCGTAACCTTCAACCCCCAGGCGCTTACAGCCCATCACCCAACAGCACCCTAGGCCTCCTGCAACCCTAAAACCCGAAAGGCCAGACAGAAGGACTGCGGTAAAGCTTTCCGGGGCTTTGAGAAGATACTCGGAGCCCTTAACAACCCCCGAAGTCGTACTTTCTAATGTAGGGGCCTTAAAAAAACTAGAATAGGGTGTTGGGGCCCAAGATACTAAAATTATAATAAGGAATCCCCAAAATAGTATAGGTAATCATTAAGGCCCCTATAGTAAGCCCGAAAGAACCCAAAGCAGCGGCCGCCTCCAGGAACGCACCTCACCGGTTGGTTGCTCCGGCAGTTGGCCACACCTTTGAATTTCAGGTCTTCGGTTCGGTTTTTGGTTTAGGGTTTAGGGTTTAGGGTTTAGGGTTTAGGGTCGCCATGGTAGCTTTCACTTTGTGATCTTCGGTTGATTCTCGACCGTTTAAACCCCGAACATGCCCGAACCCCTCAACCCTAAAGCGAAACTAAACTCGTAACCTTTCAAATTTAGGGTTTAGGGTTTAGGGTTTAGGGTTTAGGGTTTTAGGGTTAAGGGTGTAAAAAACTACTAGACATCGAAATAGGCCCCCCAAACCTCTCGCACCCAAGACGCATTGACAAAGGACTTCCGAGACCCTCAGTGTCAGAGTTTCGCATTCGTGTTGGACATCATTTCAGGCCAAGGGATGCAAAATAATGCAGCGGCCTTCATAATTACAATAGGGTTTTGGGGTATAGGGTTTAGGGTTTCGGCCTTCATAATTACAATAGGGTTTTGGGGTATAGGGTTTAGGGTTTAGGTTTTAATAAATACAATAGGGTTTTGGGGTGTATTCATGTCAATAAGGAGCCCCTAAAGTAGTATTGGTAATGATAACGGCCCCATATTATGGGTCACGGCGAGGTCCTGAGGTTTGAAGCTCTACAACCCCAAAAGCCCGAAACTCTCGAAGGAATAATAAGACTACCACAGACACTGATACTGTTGATAGACAAAATTCTGCATGACCCAAATATAGTATAGTACCATAAACCCCATAGTTTAGGTATGTAAGGTCATGCAGGANNATTTTGTCCATCAACCGTATCACCTTAAACTTGCCCAACAAGCCGGAAAGCCACAACTAAAGCCCTGAACCCAAAGCCCTGCTCCAAAACAAACAAAGCCCTTAAACCTCAAAGACCTGGAAAAAAAAACTACACAGCCTACAGCCTAAACCCGAACCGGAACCATGAAGGATCAGCCCAAGCAGCTTTGACAGGAGGCTCAAGACCTTGGCTGCGTACTTCAAGGGCGCCGGCAGCGACACCTGGTGGGGTTTAGGGTTTAGGG